AGAACTATCCATCAGAGGGAGGGCCTCTGCAAGGGTATTGGCTGAAGGAGGTGGCGACAGGGATGACGGCGAACGGCGACCCTTGCTGCAGGGTGTAGGTCTACTTTGGATTTTACGCCTGGTAGATGCAATGTTGCTTTGTTTATTATGGGGATATGGCATGTATATGCTGCGCGCTGTATTGGCTGCATTGTGTACAGGATAGCGACGAAGATGAAGCCGCCTGCGGCGAAGGGAGCAGCGTGGGTGGAAGTGGTCTCCGAAGGCGGAGGAGGTCACCCTCGCCGAAGCGGTGGTGGCCATCGTATCCACGTGTCCAACAGGGACCACCCACAGAAGAGCATGAAATGTTATTAGCTCCTGATCCAGGACCTTCCACGTCTGCTTCTGGTCCTGGTGGCATTGCAGACCAAGGAAACGAGCCAGTTCCTGCAGGGCGCCGAGCTCCACACGAAACTAACCTGCGATTGGGAGACAAGGCATCTCCGCATTATAGGGACATTGACGGATCTTACAGCTTCCCACACCTTGAACGAGTACGTGTGTGATACGAGTCACTGCCCAGCTTCCCGACCAAGCAGCATTTCGAAGCGTACTCCTATGCAGATAACGCAAATGCACGCATTTTAATGTCTAGGCCTGTTGGTCAGGTGGGGTGGAGGGCACCGGTTGACGGTTGACCTTTCACAGACAACTGTTGGTGCCAGTTTGTTCTTCTTATCGCAGAGACACCCACGATTGGGAGAATCATTGGATGGTTTGGAAGATACTCTAAGGGACCTTTACCTCCTTCACGGGGGCCCACACAAGGGTAATGCAACCGCCGCACCAGTGCTCCAATTAGATTTCAAGAATACAGTGGCGCGCCTGAGCATGTTTCTAGTTGACACCAGATCGTGCAGTGTAGATATGAGTGCTTCGGTGGTAAATGCTTCCAACCTGAACATCTGCCCTTTTATTTGTTGTTTGAACGTCCTGCAGGGGAATTCGAGATCCAATGTCCGTTCAACAATCCCTCTGGTGGAATAAAAATTCATATACGGATTGAAGAACTTGTGAGTTACATGAGTCGTAACGCTCTTCATTAGTCCTTTCCTTCCCAAATCTGGCTTACAGGTAGAAACACGAGCAGGCAATTATTAACCTGCCTAACAACAAGGGTGCGTTGGTCTGCGCGCAGAACTTCAGCAATGGAACTATTTTTGAAGTTTTTGTTGATCTCTTCCGCGCTTTTTGGACCGGTCTGGATGGTCGTCATGTCAGTTAAGCAACCCATTGCCCGCACTGCAGCTACGCGTGTACCTGGAGAGCGCATGTTCGCGCCGCCATGCTGCATAACACTGCATTGTTACAATTCACTTGCTTGCGCGCAGTTTGGACGTGATGGAGTTTGTTTACTCGAAGAGATGCTCGTGAATGTGCTGGATGAAGCTGAACAGACAGGCAGTGGGCGCTTCACAGAAACCGTCAAACAGATGATTCAGTTCTGTAGCGACTCTCCTCGTAGTATTCTCTTAGGCTGTCTGCAGCTGCGGAATGGCAGCTCCTGCGTATGCCATTTTACAACGTTGAAGTCCTAGTGGGAATCACTGGGCTTGCATATATGTTGCTGTGTGGCTGCAGTAGCAGAAGGGGAAACAACTCGGTTCTCTTTCGAGTTGCCAAAGCCAGAAGGCTCGCCTTCCAAGGGCAGCGTTCTGCTCGAGGTCTACGGTAGGCTCAAAGCGGACGCATTATACTCCCACGTTTTTTGAGAATTCAGGCACCATATAGAGAACCCGTTGTCACCTCACGTGTATTAGCTCGCACAAGGAATTATACATGCATGCCTTTCGCTGATTTTTGTCTTTCCTCAGCTACGACTGCGGACGATTCTGGCTAGGGCAAATGCCGATGATGAAGGTATTGAGGAGTATATTCGACTTGCACGGCAGCGAAACCGC